CCTGGGGCCGGTTTGTACAAATTAGTGGAATCAACGTGAAGTTTATCTTAGGCTAATGATCGCTTCAGGCTTCAAAAGAGAGGGCCGTTGTATGTTTGAAGAATCTCCCTTGATAAAACCCGTTGCACATGGAAAATCAGCAAGTCTGAAAGAAGTCCAGGCTGAGCGCACAGATAATTTTCTGCATGAACAATGCCCACCCTCCCCCCCCCCCCACCACCGCATGGAGTACACCAAATATTATGCCCTTCACCTGCGGCAGTACTTCCCAGAAAAAGCTTTACTACTGACCTAGGCTAGCCTAATCTCATCAGACCCGGGAAGCTAAGTAGAGTCAGCCCTGGTTAGTACTTGGATGGGAGACCACTGAGGAAGACTAGGGTTGCTTTGCAGAGGCAGGCAAAACCGCATCTGTTTGTCTCTTGCCTTGAAAATTCTGCAGGGTTGCCATAAGTCGGCTGTGACTTAATGGCAACTTTCCACCACCACGTATACGACTGGTGGTATACATTGGCCCCACATTGAAACAGAGGGATCCTCTTGCCCGTTCTGCATCACGTTAAAACATTCTCTGCAACAGCACAGCCAAGAACTTCATGCCATTCCCTTTGCTTTACCTGAGGTGACACAGGATTTCTATTTCTCTTCGGAGCTGGTGTTCCAGCTGCGCTTTCTCCATGGCAGACTTGAATATGACTTTTAAAGCCAAGATGAAGTGAGTCTTTTTGTTCCGGGCCAAGTACACCGCACCGAACCTCCCTTTGCCAAGCGGCTTGCCAATTTCAAAGTCCGAAATGGCCCACATTCTCCTGTCAATCAAAGAAGGTGGTAAAAGCTCAGCCGATGCACAGTTTTCTTTACCAGCCTGGTAATATTTGGCTAACTCCAACTTGGCTGTCAAGATGTGCAGCACTGGCATTTGACAGCAACACATATATACCCTCTACAACATTTGCTCTACTTTGCATTGAGTTCATGCCACCTTTTTGAAAACCATAAAATGGATTTAATCTGTGTTTCTTTCAGTGTGCTTATTTAGCACTGTCTCCCAGCAACTAGAGCTGTGTTGAACCCATAACACTGGGTGATTCTGCATCTAGCATTCGTTCCACATTTTCTTAACTGGGAGTTAAAAAGTGCAGCTCAAAGTGACATTCAAATACCTTGGGGGCAACACCATACTGACTGCAAAGTCACGCCTGAACGACCATAAATCTATGCAGAAGGTACCATAAAACCGGTGATGAAAGAAAGCAAAAACGGCATGCAGCGTGGAGGCGAACATAAAACCCGATGATCAAAGGAAGTGAAACCAGCATGCAATGCAGAGGGGAATTTCTGTTCCAGTGTGGGTTTCGTAAAACAGCAGAGGGAAAAGCCAATACAGAATCGCCCACTGTTAGAATAGAACATGTCAAAGTCAAACACCATGTCAAAGTCACCCTTTAAAAACTATCCTTGTTTTGTTGAGCACATATGTCTTTTCAGCAATGTATTCAGCGTATGTGGGGTTGCCAACCCTCCCCATACGCCACCTTCCACAGGCTCTACCCCCAAATCTCCAAGAGCTTCTAAATCTGGAGTTGACAACCCTACCCTAATGAAATGTAACATAGGAGGTTTCTCTAGTGACGGATTTTCCATCAATCCCTTTAAACAGTTACCTTGGAAGTAGAGAACCAGAATCACATTCGGTGCCCGCTTTAGAACTACTTCCCTCTCCTATAAAACAAATGCATGAGTTGGAAACATTGTGATGGTTTCTGTTATATAATTTGCAAAGATGCCATTGGATAATTCCACACAAGGGTTAAAGGAAAAAAGAAGACAAGTCCGCCTCCTCCCCCAAGTGAAAACATCATCAACCAACATACTCTTAAGCAGGGGTCATTTCGTAGAAAAAGAGGAGCAGGAGCTCATTAGCATAACTTATTTGTGTATGCGACACACCCCTGACATCACCAGAAGTGTGTCAGAAGGCAACACCCACCGCTCAAGGTCCACTGGACTGCTTTGGATTGCTAGCTACTGGAGGGGTAACGTGCAGATCTGCCCTCACAGAGGAGGGAGAGCTTGTACCTGAATAAAATTTGATCTGGACTGTTTCGGACCGGGGGGCTCTGCAGCTTACCTGGCTGCTTCTTGGTCTGACTGAGGGCTGCTGGGAGCAGGGGGTGGGGCTTGTTGCATGTGCCCGCCCCCTGGGCTCTTTACTGCCGGAGCTCCGCTCCTGTGCGCTCCTGCAGGAAATGACCCCTGCTCTTAAGTAGCACAGTAGTTCTAGGGAGACCTTATTCTCCCCACGGAACATAAGCTTTACTATAAAGCGTGTGGTGGAAAGTGCCATCAAGTCACAGCTGACTTATGGCGACCCTGTAGAGCTTTCAAGGCAAGAGATGTTAAGAGGTGGTTTGCCATTATCTGCCTCCGCATCATGCCCCTGGTATTCCTTGGTGGTCTCTCATGCAAATACTAGCCAGGGTCGGCCCTGCTGAGTTTCCAAGATCTGACAAGATCAGGCTAGCCTGGGCTATCCAGGTCAGGGCTTACTATAAAGTGGCATGCTGCTGTTAAAAACTAAACAAGTTTCTGCCGCACAGGTGAAACCAAAAACAGTAACTGGAGATCAGTTCTAATCCCAGGAGATCTCCAGCCACCACCTGGAGATTGGCAGCCACTATTGGCAACCCTGGTCCACTGACCCACTGTAACCACTGTTTTAGTTCTGCTTGCAACCGACTGTTGTGAGCAGTACCATAAAATTGCCTCCATGCGGAAGCAACTGTAGTTTAAATGAACCAACCGACGGGGAAACCTACCCTTAGACTCCAGTCCTCCTCCTTTGTCTTTGTTCAGGAACTTCTTGTGCTTTGGAGACGATCCCCCTTGAGATGCACAGACTGAAACAGAGGAGCTGCTGAGCTGTTTCTTTATCGGCAGATGTACTGCGGAGCCATACGCCTTCGGCTTGGTGACGGAGGGCTAGAGTGAGAAGCCGAGAGGTTAGAAAACACCGGTGCAGGATGCACAATTCCTGATTGTCAACGGAGAGCGAGGGCCAACGATGTGAGATGCTTGAGTTACATAACCGGAACCACAGACCTGGAAACCGAGTCTTTAAAAAGCAGCTTACTGGGGGGCGGGCAGGGAGAGAAAGAAACCTGGGTCAGGGCAGTGGTGCTGAGGTAGGAGCTTTCACCATGTCCCATCTGGACTTCTAGTTTCACGCAACTTAGCCCCAAGGGTGGCCTGCGTAGAATTTCAGAAGAACTGCAGGTTCCTCAAGATCCTATTTGGTCAGGAAGAAGAAGAAGAGGAGGAGGAGGAGATTGGATTTATACCCCGCCCTTCACTTGGAGTCTCATAGCAGCTTACAAACTTCTTTCCCTCCCCCTCCCCTCCCCAAAACAGACACCCTGTGAAGTGGGTGGGGCTGAGAGAGCTCTGAGAGAACTGCTCTTTTCAAGAACACCTCTGAGAGAACTATGGCTTGCCCAAGGCCATTCAGCAGCTGTAAGTGGAGGAGTGGGGACTCAACCCCGTGCACTTAACTGGCTGTTGCCCAATGGAAGGGCCTCTGCTTTGCATGCAGGAAGGTCCCAGGTTCAATCCCCGGCATCTCCGATTGAAAGGATCAGGGAGTAGGTGATGTGGTTATCTGCCTGACGCCCTGGAGAGTCACTGCCAGCCTGAGCAGACAATATTGACTTTGATGGACCAAGGGTCTGATTCAGTATAAGGCAGTTTCACCGGAGTTCTGGGTTCATAGTCCTCTGGACAATACATCTACAACTCTACCCCCTCTGCTATGGTAAGAGACCTGCCTGTTCCCAAGCAAGATTTTAAAAGATTTTTTTAAAAAAATATTTTACTGAGAGACTATAAAACCCATGTTGGCCAAAACATACATATGCTTGCCAACCTCCAGGTGGGGCCTGGAGTTCTTCCAGAATGACAATGGAGCTCCAGACTACAGAGATCAGCTCCCCTGGATAAGATGGCAGCTTTGGAAAGCAAATTCTCAAAAATAAGGCCCGGGGGCCAGAGCTGGCCCACCCAGGGCTCTTATGCAGCCCGCAAACAACTAGTGCAAGGGAGGGAACGACACTGCTCAGGGAGAAGTGGGTGGAGCCACTCCGATTGTGGCTTCAGCATGGTGGAACAACCTCGTCTGCAACAGTCAAGCAGCGTGGGAGCATCTGCCCAGTGGTTTACCACTGGCTCTCCAGTCCACCCATCTGGGTTTGCACCCTCTTCCCACCCACGGGGCTTTGCAGTGAAGATACACCAGTGTAGTAGAGATGGGACTATAAAGATTTCCCCCTTTTTTATTATTCATATTTCTCTGGTTTTTATAGATTTATTCTTTAAGTAATATTTTATTAGGACGTTAGAAAGGCCTGTTATATAGAAGGCTTTCCTCTTGTAGGTCTGATATTGTTAGCAGACAACATGATAGGTACAAAGTTCATGATTCTGTAGTTCTTAGGGCAAACCTTTCAATGTCTGGGTCAGATAAGATTTTAGTCTCATATGAAGAATCCTTGCCCATTATCATTTAGGTTAGGTTAAGTAAACACTTAGATTGACATAGATATATGTTTCTTTATATCTGGCCAATCAGAGGATTATTACTCAAATTACCAGTCCATGTATAAAATATCATGTATTTCCTGAATATGTTCAGAATACGCTCGAGGAGGAGAAGATGAAGAAGAAAAAGGAGAAAGTTGTCATTTTTTGATTAACTATTTGGTCTAATTGTTTTCCTATTAATTGAAGCATATTTCCTGAATATGCTGAGAAGAAAGTAGTCAATTTTGGATGGACTATTTGGTCCAGTTGTTTTTCTGTTAATTGAAATAAAACATAGATCTTCCTCCTCATTTGACTTCATTTTTGACATGGAATCTAATATGTACAACACCAACTCGGAGCTTACCAGCTGCTGTCCTTTATAGAGTTTATATATCCGATACCTGGCATTGTGTTTATGGCACACATGGCCCGGCCCAACAAAGTGACATTTATGTCAGATCTGGCCCTTGTAACAAAGGAGTTTGATGCCTCTGCTCTAAAGACTCTGTGAAATCTCTCCCCAGATCCCCCCTTTCACAGGCACCCCCCCAAATCTCCAGGAATCTCCCTGGATGGAGTTGGCAACCCAAAATATGCAGTATTCTTCCACTTCCTAACCTCTATGAACAACATTTGCACATGATACAAGCAGCAGGAAACTGAAGGCCACTTTAATGTCGACATGGAAAACATAGCCCCTAATCGCAGGGGTGGCGTCTGCAACCAGAAATGGCCCAGGTGCTTACCTTACTGCTGACTTTGCTGTGGAGGGCATCCGACATTTCTGGTCTCTCCATCAGTCTCCAAGGAACGTACACTGAAGAGGGAAGGGAAACGATCACAAAACGTGCAGTGACGTTGTCAGGTCTTGGGTCCAAGTACTCTCTCAACACTCTCGTGGTAGCAAGATTTGTTTATTGAGAGCTGCAGGTCATCCAAGCATATACAGAGTTGGTGTTGGAACTGCCAGTCCCAGGCTACGGCTAAACCTATACAGAGTGTAGGACCCCCCCCCCAGTGCCCAGTCATCAGTTCTCACACAGCCCGCCAAAGCTTCAAGCTGAGTCTCGTAGCCGCCACCCAGCACCTGCGAACTAACCGTTTCTTTATCTGTTACGCTACAAGGTCACGCAGACTGCTACAGCACTAGGCCAGCGAAGCAGGGATTCACACACGCTCTCACTCCTAAAGAATGCACATAAATTAAAGTGGTGTGTGTGTGTGTGTGTGTGTGTCAAACTGTCTCTAGTTTGCCATCATGTCTGGGGGATGGGAAATTCCTGGGGGGGGGTGAGTGTTGGAGTGTGTGTGTGTGGGGGTGGGGGTTGTAGAAGCTGTAACTCTTGCCAGGGAGGACCTTGAAGTCAAAGCTGTGCTTTTCTTGCTTTCATAGATAAGGGAACCGTATATTCCCAGGGGTTAGAAGCACGAAAATTACGCGGGAGGTTGACAGTGTGTGATTGGTGCACTTTGGTTTGAACTGTCTATAACTATGGAAATTTCCACATGAACCTCAGTTCTGACACGGTCCTGTTCCACCTGGACCATGCAGATATCGCAATAAACAAATCACTGCCAAAGAGAGTGTTGTTGAGAGTCCCTTGACCAGAGGTCTGACAGGGGGGAAGGATCAGAGGGGAAGAAAGGAGTTAACCCTTGATGTAACAGAGAAGAAGAAGAAGAAGAAGAAGAGATTGGATTTATACCCCGCCCTTCACTTGGAGTCTCAGAGCGGCTTACAAACTCCTTTCCCTTCCCCTCCCCACAACTTCCCCTGTGAGGTGGGTGGGGCTGAGAGAACTCTGACACAAACTGCTCTTTTTGAAGGACAGCTGTGCCAGAGCTTGTGACTGACCCAAGGTCACATCAGCAGGTGCAAGTGGAGGAGTGGGGAATCAAACCCGGTTCTCCCAGATTAGAGTCTGCACACTTAACCACTACACCAAACTGGCTCTCAGAGCAGTAGCATCAGTAGGCAACAGTAGCATACAGAGCAGTAGCATCAGTAGGCAACAATACATGACAAGTGAGGTACGAACTTGACAGACATCAGGACTAATGCTCCCTCTAAGCTGGGAGTCTTGTGAGCAAAACTCTTCTACTTTGTGAGCTACGGGCATCAAAAGTTGTGAGCGAGCAATCTGGCTACTGCATAAATCAGTTTGCTCTGGAGCCATCCTTCCTGAGCGAAGACAAAAATGTGTGAGCCGGAGGCTAAAAACCTGTGAGCTGGCTCACACTAACTCAGAGGGAAGCCTGGTCAGGACTCCTGTGAACTTGGGACTTCAAAACTTCTGGTGCCTCAAGAGGGGCCGGAGGGGCAAAGCCCGGGATAGATCAGCAGACTGTGGACTCTTGGGGAGCAGGGCTAATGGAAGAACCTCACCATGTGTTCTTATGACTGTGCCTGTGCTGGTCCCAGTATGGGGAGAGTGTGGCACAAGGAAGAGGCTGGTGACAGAGTGTGTGGGGATGCCAGCCTCCAGGTGGGGCCTGGAGATCTCCTGGAGTTTCACCTGATCACAGTCCCCCTGGAGAAAATGGCTGCTTTGGAGGGTGGACTCCAGGGGTCGTTTCCTGCAGGAGCGCACAGGAGCGGCGCTCCGGCAGTAAAGAGTCCACTAGTCCAGGGGGCAGGCACATGCAACAAGCCCCGCCCCCTGCTCCCAGCAGCCCTCAGTCGGAGCAAGAAGCAGCCAGGTAAGTTGCAGAGCCCCCCCCCCTCGGTCCAAAACAGTCCAGTGGCACCTTTAAGACCAAGTTTTATCTCAGAGGACATATCTGCACGTTCCCCCCCCCCCCCAATAGCTAACAATCCAAAACAGTCCAGTGGAGCCTGAGCCGTGGGTGTTGCCTTCTGACACACTTCCGGTGAAGTCAGGGGGTGTGGCATATGTAAATATTATGCTAATGAGTTGTGCTAATGAGCTCCTGCACCTCTTTTTCTATGAAATGACCCCTGGTCGACTCTATGATGTCATACTAGGGTCACCCGCCTCCAGGTGGTGGCTGGAGATCTTCTGGGATTACAACTGATTTCCGGGCGATAGAGACCAGTCCCCCTGGAGAAAATGGCCACTTTGGAAGGTCGACTCTAGGGCATGATTACCCCACTGTAGCCCCTCCCCTCCCCAAACCCCGCCCTCCTCAGGCTCCACCCACAAAATCTCCAGGTGTTTCCCAACTGGGAGCTGGCAACCCTACATTGTACCCTGTTGAGGCTCCTCTCCTTCCTAAACTTTGCCCTCTCCGGGCTCGACCCCCCAAATCTCCCCTTTTCCCCAAAAGGGAGTTGGCAACTCCTAAGTGTGGTTTAGGGGGTAGAACTTTGGAGTGAGGAGACCCAGGTTCGAGTTCTCCACTCAGCTATCAAGTTCACTGTGAGATCTTGAGCCAGCCACTCTCTGAGTCTAACCTACCTTACAGGGCAGTCGTGAGGTTGAAAAGGAAGAGAGGAGAATGAGATACTCTGTCCTGAGCTTTTCATAGAATGGGTGGGATAAATATATAACAGTTTGATGATCTAAGACCCACCTTCACCTGCTTCTGCCACATTGCGCTGTCATCATTCACCTCTCAGGTTGCCAGCTCCAGGTTGGGAAATATCGGGAGATTTGGGGGGTGGAGCCTCAGGAGGGCGGGGTTTGGGGAAGGGAAGGACTTCAGTGGGGTACAAGGCCATAGAGTCCACCTTCCAAAGTGGCCATTTTCTCCAGGTGAATTGATCTCCATCGCCTGGAGATCAGTTGTAGTCCCAGGAGATCTCCAGCCACCACCTGGAGGTTGGCGACCCTATTTGCCTTGCTTCCTTCTGCTCAACAGAGCAGATGTGCACTCTACAGAAATAGGATGCTGGGGCTGAATTTAATGGCCCGGCTTCTTTACGCATAGGCAGTACAGATCTAGCGTCTCACCCCACAACACCGGTCTGGATTGAATCCGGGGGGCACTGCTGCTGCTACCGGCTGATGTTTAAAAAGATGGGAGATCCAGTTTATGAACCTCTTGATGCCTCATATGTAGCAGCACCCTAAGTGGAAACCAGGCTTCTGAGTTTGTGCCATGAAAGGTTCTGAAAACCATCCCAGAGGTTTAAAACAACGACCACCAACCGACAGTACACAAAAAGCCATACTGTTAGGCCTGCTTGCTGCCCCAGAAACCAGGGCCTGGCATTTACCAGCGGACATCTGTACAACATGCCAGCAGATCTTCAGTACTCTCTGATTGATGCCAGCCTTCAGTTGGGACCTGGGGATCCCCCGGGATTACAGCTCATCTCCAGACTGCAGAGATCAGTTGTTCCCCTGGAGAAAATGGCTGCTTTTGGAAGGTGGACTCTATGGCAGGGCAGTCAAACATGTGGCCCGATCAGGCCCCCGGAGGGCTTCTCTCAGCCCCGCAGTGGAACTGGCTGTCTTCTGCTGCTTCTTCCAGTTTTGCTGCTGCTGCGTCATCATAGGTTTGCAGCTTACAGATACACACCTGAACAGCATACTCAAGATTGCAGCAGCACAGACATTTTGATGCAGTAATTCAGAGCAAGAGGTGTCAGCTATGACATTGTTAAAGAAACAAATTATTGCAAGAGTGCTAACGTTTTAAGCATGTTTTTATTTTAAGTAAAAAAACCAACCCTTTTGTGTTTGTTTCCTTTATAAAGTTTATATCTCCGCTACCTGGCATTACATTTTATGACACACACGGCCTGGCCCAACAAGGTCTCATTTATGTCAGATCCGGCCCTAATAACAAATGAGTTCGACACCCCTGCTCTATGGCATTGTTATCCCCCCTGAGGTCCCAGTTCTCCCCAGGCGCCATCCTCCAAATCTCCAGGAGTTTCCCGACCTGGATCTGGCAACCCTAGCCCCCCTTTCCCCCACCAGTGTCCAGGGGGGCACCTGGCAACACTACCAGCTCCAAAGGGACGCATGATTAGAGATGTGAAGGCCCGGAAAAAAACTGGAAAAATTCGGGGAAAAAACGGTTTTTTTCCAGTTTTTTTCCTGAAGATTTTTTGTTTTTTTCCGAAAAATTGGAAAAATTGAAAAAAGAAAATAAAAGAAAAAAATGATTATGGAACGTTTTATTTTAACATGATGAATAAAATATTTTAAGACAGGGTGTTCAAATATTTTCCAAATCATTTCTAATATATATATATGGTATCAGATTGATCTAATTTCTGTGCACTGAGGACAAGCAATCCTAAGTTACAAACTGAACTCTCCAATGCAAGAACAAGATGTATTTCTTCCTTTAGGAGGTGCTATTGTCAGAAGAAAATATAAAGGTTTCAGTTTTGTGTTTGCATGTGGGTGGGTATTCTGTTTGTAATAATTGTTTGGATACACTATATTTTTAATATGCTAGTTGTGATAATTTCATGCCATATAAAAATGTCTATAGTCATATTTTATGTTACTAAAGCAACAGAATGACTTTCAATCTAGAAAAGACAAAAGAAATGCTAATGTAGCATTTTTTTCAATTTTTCCGAAAATTTCCGTTTTTTTCCGAAAAAAAAACGGAAAAAAAACAGGTTTTTTTCCGAGCTTCAAAATTTCCAGAAATTTTACATCTCAACACATGATACAGATAACGGTATAAGCCCAAGAGCCTTTTGAGTCTTCTTTCTCAAGCTGCAGCCATTCCCTTCCCGTGCCATGTAGGCGAATACCTTTTGAAGGGGAGGCAGTAGCATACAGGTCACCAAGTAGGGCTGCCAACCTCCAGCTAAGGCCTGGAGATCTCCTGGAATAACAGCTGATCCCCAAAC